GTGAGCCATGAATCAAGCCACATCTTTCCTTCCATATAAACGAAACCAGAATGCAACAGACTAGTGCATGTCATTTCCGTACTTGAGAGTTCCTGCAAACTGTATTGCTCCCAGCATGTATCATTGTATCCCAGTCACTATGCATCAGCAGGTGACAACGCATGCAGGAGATTGGCAAGCCTACAAGAGAATGAACAATGGAGAAAAAGATGGTCTCTATTCTCAACATCCTTACCACATAGGGGGCAGGAAGTATCTCCCATTTCAATAACTTGTCTCGTGTTACAATGGCCTTCTTAGCATAGTCTTCCTTCTTCTCCAGTATTTTACTGAATGTAAAAATTTAATGGGAATTTTTTTTGTATTGTGAACACTCCATTTTCAAAACTTAAATTTACCCGATACATGTATTGAACTTGGTTTGAAATTGCTCTTCTTCATCCTTCATTATCTTCAAAACTGTGTACCCACTTATGGTGTACTGTTTACAATGTTGACATCAGTAAGCTTGATATGAAAATTTAACTTCATGCTCTCGGTTTGTATGGGATAGTAGGCGAAGGTTCTCTCATTTTGTCACTATCTTTGGGTAGTTTCTCAATAGACATTCCAAATAGTCTACCTTCCTCGCGATACAGAACAATCAATTTAGATTAAAAAAATGTTATCTACCGCTCACAGCTAATCCTAAATCTATAAAATAACAATAATTGAGATACTTTGGAAAATAATTCAAAATCCCAAATATTTTCTTAATGGTTAAAAGCTCAAATATTAAACCCTACTAAAATTAGTTTAAAATATCATTTCGTTCTTTCACCTACCCGCCTCCGGTTCTGCAACTAGCACTCTCTTTTCTCCATCACCAAAGCATGCACTACAACAAAACAGTGATTTAGCGACGGTTTTGTATTTAATGACGGACAGCCAATCGTCGCTGACCCTGCCGTCCTTAAATTTTATAGCGACGGTTTTGGTTGATCGTCGTCCTGGCCGTCGCCAAAGTTTAACGACGGTGGTGACCGATGTAATTTTCCTGGCAACCGTCGTCAAATAAATATCCCAACAATTATTTAAATTATTTAGTGACAGAGCCTGACCGTCGCTAAAAGAGAGTGTATTTTAAGGAGCCACCTTCTCTAATAATAATAGCCCTAGCCTACTGTGATTTTCCATTACTCTAATGATCACAAATCATTTTCTATACATCAAATGAGCAATACACTACTCTAATAATCCCAAATCAAGAATTGTAAATCCATTCATAACTCTTTGAATTGTAAATCAAACCATCAATCCTTACAAAAGTACCATCAAATCCCTCAAATCCAGAGTTGTAAATCAGTCAAACCACTTACAAAAGTTCAAAGCCTACAATCTAAAGTTCAATTCTATTTCAAACTAAAAACTGAGTTTACCCCTGCAGCCCTTCATTAACTTGCAGCCCTGTAAATTAACAAAACAACAACAAAGATCCAGTCACAAATCCATAATTACAGATAATTTTGAACTAAGTTCTCGTTAACTTGCAACTTCTGTATCACATTTTTCTACCCTTTATTCCTAGCACAACTTAAGGACTAGGATCTCAAAAAAGAAACAACCGAAAGTTTGGTTCATATAAGCGAAATCCAGGAACTAGATGTTAACCTTTCATGACAGGAGGTTTGTTGAATGAAGAACAGAAGCCTGAAATACCAGAAGAGAAAACGAACATGAGATTAGTCTTCACCGATCATTTTGCGTAGGTTGGAGTGGTATCGAAACTGAAGCTATTCATATGGCTGAAGAAGTTGAGCTTGCTTACGTAATGCACTCATTTAAGAAGAAGAAAAAAGAGCCTCGTTTTCACTCCATTTCTTAAGTCAAGTAGTACCTTTTAAGGAGTGCTACCCCTGCTGTCTCGGACTGCTAGTCGAAGAGTGGCCAGAATGTTGAGCAGTGGAGTCAAGAGGATGCTGAAAAGTGAAAATATAAAAAAAAAAGAACCCAGTTAAAAGGCATAAACTCACAATTTCCTCTGAAAGTTCTTACATTCATAATAACAACTTACTTGTTCTACTAACATAGACAGCTCCAATGGCATAGGGACATTGCTGAAAAATCTTGACAAACCACTCTTCATACCTCTCATTCTTCTTCAAGATTTGTTGTAACTTAGACCACAACATTTGCTCACTTCCAAAATCAGCATGTGATGATTCTCAGACATATCCAAACGAGCTAGAACCAAAGGTCTCATACGGAACAACACCAGCCCCCATACCACGCATCCTACGTGAATGTTCTTTGCCCAAAACTTGGCCTAAAGAATCATTAGGTGCTGCTTGCTTTGGCATAGCACCTGTTGCTTCGAGTTCTGAAATGTTTTCCTACACCAATGTTCACCAAAAACATGAAAACAAACATAGTTATCAACAATTGTACCTACAACAGTTGTTTTTCCTTCCTACGAGCCTTATAATGAAGTTTAATGGACCATTAGTTTAGATCCTGCCTCTGCCTATATTATCTATCAAAGCAGAAGCACCGACCGCTGCTGCCTTTCTCCTTTCCTTGTTCATAAAAATATGAAAACAAACATCATCACCAGAAAAGTAGAAGGGAAAATGTTTTTACACAAACATCTCTGGTCTTGGGATTCAAATATGATCCATCTGGCCTTTTGTGAGTCTCAACGAAAACTTGTCCTCTTGAAACCTCCTTCCCAGTTGACTCACTCTATATAATCCAACCAGAAAAATGTAAGGACCTTAAATATTTTGATTCTTTAGCAAAATGAAAGAAACATCTATGAACATACCATCTCAGCAGTTTTCCTAGCAATGGACTTCGAACCTCCTGTGTGATTAAGATGATATTCACCCCTATTTCTTGTATTCCTTATTGACATATCCTTCAATAAAAAATACAGAATACTGATTAACCTCCTATCATGGAAAATAAATCCAAAAATTCAACTTGAAGGAAATAAAACAACCACACAACACCTGAGTGGTCTTTCTTTGACGATAGTATATGAAACTAGCCCATTGTTCTTTGGGAATCCCTTCAGGAGGTTTGTTGATATTTTGCTCTCTTGTCCATATCCGCTTGTACTTGTGTTTGTAAAGTTCATACCTATGCCCCTTCCATTTGCTGCCTAAGCTACTCAAAATGTACTTGTGTGCCCTATATATGTGTCTAGGCTCAACAAAAACTTTGTCCTACAAACATCAAAGATTTAATACTTAAATATCCAGACCAACAAGTAGAAAACAACTCATAATTAAATCAAAGAATTACAAAAAACAATACTTACAACAATTATAATATGGAGGACTTCTTTCTTATAGCAAGAAGGAACATCAAGCCAACTATCAAATCTTATAGGAAAATAGTTGATGTCCCTATGAGTCTCAAAAATTGTCCAAGTAGTCCACCACCATCATGAACAGGCTGGTTCCTTACAAATGGCACCACAAACTTGGTGCCCTGTGGGAGATACCACACATCCTGTGCATGTAGATGTGCCATGGACCTCTTTTTCTTCATCACCAAAGCATGCTCCCACTTTCTATCCATAGCTCTCTGCTAAGATTGAGGTGCCTCCCGTCTCGTGATTTCGTAAGTCGCTCCTCTAGCCTTCTCTTTTTTTGAAAATTTATCGTTACCTGTTGAGTTTATCTATTCTGCAATTTCACTTGTGTCTTTCGGATAATCTGATGTTTTTCTTGCAATCATTATATTGAATAAGTAAATCGAGCAAGATTATGTTTGATTTGAATGGCCAATTTGTTTGCAGTAACATTGGCTAAAAAATGCTACTCAAAGTGTTTTCTAGTTTTCTGTTGGTCTCAATAACTCATTGTTTTTGTTTTTTTAAAATGGTCTAATTGCTTGTGCATGGTCATATATATGTTACTTGACTCTCGTCGGTGTGATAATGTGATGTGCTGCACAAATATCATAAGTGGCCTCATATCGGTCTAATTGCTACTTGATACTCAGTTAAGGGAACGATAAATAACGATAACATAGGTAACAATGGTGGGTGCATGAGCTTTTTTTCCTTTACATATGCCACTTTCACTAAAGAGCAAGATTTCTTATTCCAGCTTCTTGTCTATCTGTGGGGTTTTTTTTTTTGTCAATGGCTTTTGTTTGGGACGATAGTCACTACAAGAAAATTATGCTTTAGAGACAATTCACTACAAGAAAAAGGTCCTTTAATCACGGGAAATCCTATGTTTAAAAGCATGTTTATCGTGATTAATAATTTTAGTCACGGAAAAATTACCTTAATATAAAGCTCTGTGACTAATTGTGTACCGTGACTAGTTATATGTACAGTGACTAATCGCTTCCCGTGACTAGATGCTAATCACTAGTCACAATATTTACTACTTGTAGTGACTAGTTCCCCTGTGATTAAATACTAACCACTAGTCACAGTATTTGACTAAAGCTGATTACAACCACTAGTCACAGTATTTTGCTATGACTAATTACAATATATATGACAAGATTAATTATGAATTTTTGCCATTACTAATTACAACAAGGGAGGTTCACAAGGGAGGTTTAGAACCTTCCTCCTAGCGTGATTACCTTCCTCGTAGGTGTTCATAAGAGTATCGATCATCACTGCAAATCATTAGAATTTTGTTAGGCTAATCACAGTTCCCACAAAAGCTCACATCTTACCCTAATTTCTAAACCACAAAGATATGAGTATACCAAAGCAAGCTGATTAAATGGTCAAGCATTCACCACCGACCTTGTTGATTCAAGCTTTGGCAGTTCTACCAAGCCTCTCTGCTATGTCAATAACTACAACAACCAACAACCTAAGTCCTAAATCCGCTGTTGTAATCCGCCGTGTATATGTAGGGAGTTCAGAGAATAGATCCATTAGAGAGAGAGACATGAGAGAGAAAAAGTTCAGGAGAGGTTTAGCTAAAAGGCGAGTGTTCCTCTTTCCGAGATATACACGGCGGATCTCAAGGCAGGGATTGACTCCCCCTATAGATCGAGCAACAACAGAAGCCACCAAGCCGGGGAAGAAATTAGATATTCAAGCACCAACCCAACAATGACAGGGCAAAACTCGGCTAGAGGGGAGGATGAAGGCAATCCCCAAATCCCACCGGGATTCACAGTGTGCCGATTGGAGGAGGAGGCGAGGGTCGAGGATAGAAGCCACCAGGGTAGGGTGAAGGGGCGATACAAAGAAGGGATGGGAGCGAAGAGTTTGGCTCTCGAAATGGAGACAGTGGCGGCGGCGCTTCAAGGCGGCCTGAGAATTGAAGAATAAGGGGCAGCGCAGAGGCAGGCGGTGAGTAGGGCCCAAATGGGGTCTCAGCTTTCACTTGGGCCTATCAGCCCCTCCTTGCAGGCCCATGATGCAAGGAATGGAGAGCCCAACCCTACCTGACTTGCAAATCCAATCCTTGTATCATCACATCCAAAAAGAATTGGAGGGAGAAGCTGGCCGAACCATGAAAAAAGGAAAGGGCTCACGATTCAGAGCCCAGTAGAGACTAATGTTGGGCCTAATGAAGTGTCTGACTTTAATTTGAGCCCTACAGACTCTATTTTTGTAGGGGGGTGACTGGAAAGAATAGGAATAAGAAGCAACACAAGTATAAATCTCCCACGACTAATAAAGGTTACGGGAAGGAAAAAGAAATTCCAGCAAAGGCAGCGGTGGTTCGCCATAAGCCACCTGACCTCCTATGCGTATCATAAGTTGGAATTGTAGGGGATTTGGCCAATCCCTTACGAGAAGCTATGTGAAGCGTCTTGTACGACGTCATGGCCCTTCTATTGTTTTTTTTTATGGAAACGAGCAACAACGAGGAGTTCATGGAAGATCATAGAAGAAGTCTCAAAATTTTCCCCAATAGAGAGCATGTCGAACCAGTCAACTCATCTCGGGGATTTGCATTATGGTGGAAAGAGGGTATTAGTATTGATGTGATTAGTAGTGATAAGTATAATATGGATGTTAGTATTGATATGGGGAAGAAGATCTTCTGTACTTTTGTGCATGCCCCAACTATAGCTGTTAGTAGGAGGGAATTTTGGGAGCACTTGAGCTCCCTTCGGAGTAGTAGAGAGGATAACTAGGTCATTGTAGGTGATTTTAATGCTGATATTTATGAAAATGAAAAAAGAGGGGAGATGCCCTCTTAGGTATGAGAATGTGGAACCATTCAAAAGGTTCATTTTTTATAATGCTCTCATTTACATAGGGTTCAAATGCAACCCTTTCACTTGGTCCAATAAGCGTACTGGACCAAACTTGGTAAGAGTGAGGTTGTACCGGGTGCTTTGTTCGCCCTCGTGGAGAGCAAATTTTGGAGAGGCGGTTCTGTTCCATGAAAAAATGGTGGAGTCTGATCATTGTCCTATCAGAATTGACCTTCACTATCAAGGACACAGAAGAAGAAGAACTCATTTCAGGATTGATGATAGGTGGCTTGAGAAAGAGGAGTGCAAGGAGATTGTGTGTAGAGAATGGGATCCGGGTGGTCTATCTAGCAACCAGCTGGTCAAATGCGAGAGAGAACTTATGGCTTGGTCCAAGGATTTCCATAAGAATAGTATTCGTAGGGAGAATGAAATAGTAGCCAGACTTGAGATTCTACAACAACCCCCCAATCACTAGAGAATGTGGAGGAAGAGAAGAGACTCACGGCAGAATTGACAAATATTTGGCTTGAAGATGATGATTTTTGGAGGCAATGCTCCAGAGTGATGTGGCTACAAACAGGTGATCAAAATACGTCCTTTTTCCACTCTAGCACTATTCACAAAAAGCATAGGAACCGTATTCTCCGACTTAAAGATGGTATGGGTGTTTGGGTGGAAGATGAGACAAGACTGAAGGTTATGTCGGTGACCTTTTTCAAAGATTTGTTTAAGGCTAGATCTCCCATTGCATTCTCCCACCTGCTCCAAGGGTTCCCATCTACGGTTTCAGGCGAGATGAATGAGGATCTCTGTGCGACTGTTAGCAATGAAAAAATCAGAAAAGCAGTTTTCTCCCTTAGGGCACGGAAAGCTCCTGGCCCAGATGGGTTCTCCGGAAAATTCTACAAGAGATACTGGGATACTGTAGGCGGAACCCTTTGTAGAGAAGTCAGAGAATTCTTTGAGACAGCAAATATGCCCGAAGGTTGGAATGACACACATATTGCCATGGTGACCAAGGTGGACCATCTGGAAGTCATAGGTCAGTTTCGTCCCATTAGTTGCTTCAACTTTAGGTACAAAATCATTTCAAAAATCATGGCTACCCGCTTGAAGAAATGGACCCCGTCTCTGGTTTCAGAGCTTCAGACACCCTTCACGGACCGACGCCTCATTCAAGATAATATTATTATTGTCCATGAAGCTCTTCATCACTTCAAGAACCACAAACTGGGCAATAGGAGAGACATGATGCTTAAACTTGATATGAAAAAGGCGTATGACATGGTGGATTGGGAGTGCTTGGAGACCCTTCTCAGGAAATATGGGTTTGATGAGAAGTGGCGCAGATGGATTAGCGTATGTATCCGAACAGTCAGATTCTCAGTTTTGTTCAATGGAGAAGCCTCAGAGACTTTCTGCCATTCGAGAGGAAGAAGATAAGGAGATCCACTTTCCCCTTTTCTCTTCATATTAATGTCTAATGCTCTCACTTTCCTTATTGACAAGGGTGTTGCAGAGGATCGTATCAAGGGAATTAAGCTCAACGCCAGATGCCCTACCCTCACTCACTGTTTATTTGCAGATGACACAGTCATCTTTGGGAAAGCTAACATTCAAGAAGCTGAAAGAATTCTGGACCTCATCAATGATTATGGTTCAATCACAGGTCAAGAAGTCAACATCAACAAATCTTATGTATTCTTCAGTGCAAATGTCCCAGCGGAGGAGATTATCACTCACATTGGTTTTGCAACCTCCAACTGCCACTCTAAGTATCTGGGAGTACCGATGGAATGGGGAAATTCAAAAAATAAAATATTTTATTTCCTCATCCAAAGGATGGAGAAGATGGGGGAAGCATGGAAGAGCCTACTTCTATCTCATGGAGGAAATGAAGTTCTCCTCAAATCTGTGATCCAGGATATTCCAACATTCATTATGTGCCTATTCCTTCTACCAGTTTCACTCACGAAAAAAATGGATTCTCTCCTCAGCAATTTCTTCTGGGCAGGATCAATGTAGAAGAGCAATTTACACTGGTTTAGAAAGGAGATCCTCTGTGCCCCGAAAGCAGAAGGAGGTCTGGGCTTTAGAAGCTTTAGAGATTTCAATCTTGCCCTTCTTGCTAAACAGGCTTGGAGACTTCTCACTAATCCTGATTCCCTGTGGAGTCGCCTTCTCAAAGGACTGTATTTCCCTAGAGGAAACTTCTTGTCGACTAGAAAGGTAGCAAACTGTCATGGATCTGGGCAAGCATTTGGGAGTACCAGAGAGTCATTGATTTGGGAGCTGTCAGAGTGATAGGGTCGGGTGATGAGACGTGGATTGACCAAGACCTTTGGATCCTCTTCCTTCCTAAAGCAAGCGTTCAGAGCGGACCACGAAATCATGAATAAGTCAGTTGTTGGATTGATCCGAATGATAGAAATTGGAATTATGACTTAATCTAGGGATAGGTGTCTGATGCTGAAGTGGAGGCTATATTGAGAATTCCTATTGGGGAAGTGGATGTGAAGGATTTCTGGGCGTGGAAATTGAGTGAAGAGAGCATGTTCACGTTCAAGACATTGTATCATGCGGTGCACTTGTCTACAACAAATCCCCAAACGGTGGGCAATGTAGATAAATGGAAATGGGTTTGGTCTCTTGACATCCCTCCTAAACTCAAATTCTCCGTCTAGAGATGTTCTAGGAATGGTCTTGCAACTAAGGAGAGGCTCTTAAATAGGAAGTGTGCACCCAACTCAACATGCCAAGTGTGCCAATGTCCTGTCGAGTCCTTTTTCCACTGCTTTTTCTCCTGCAACCACGCCAGGGAAGCGTGGAGCGTTACTTTCCCTTCCCTTCCTCTTCCGTCTCAAGCTACTTCTTTCCTTGACTGGATCTTCTCCCTCAAGGATGCTATCCTTCCCTCAACCCTGGTTCATGTGGTCTTCCTGTGTTGGAACATTTGGAAGACAAGGAATGAATGCGTTTTTAAGAATCGGATCCCTTGGCATCCGAACACAATTATGCGGATCCATAAGGAGTTCATTGAATGGACTACTGGCCCCAGGCCTCTCCCCCTCGATTAATCTTCTCCTCAGCTCATGGGAGCCCACTCACAAACTTCTCCACCGCCAAGCAATCACAATTTGATGATTCACTGTGATGGGTCATTCTTAAGCGACTCCCAGCCGGCGGCATATGGTGTTGTGGTCATTAACCACCATGGACAAGTGTGTGATGGGCGAGCTGACACCCTCCTTTGTTCCACCCCTTTAGAAGCAGAAACAAAAGCTCTCTTGGAAGGTCTCAAATTAGCTCAAGAATATGGCTCTGAATGTGTTGTCCAATCATACTGCCAGGTACTAAATCATTAGAAAAAATAAATTTGGGTAGCAAAATATAATTTACCAAAAATTGTAGTAAATGACCAAAAAATTTAAAATTAAAAAAATCTAAAATGTAAAATACCAATCAATTAAAAATGATTATCCAAATTTTTATTTTATTTACATGTATTTCAAATACACCTATCCAAACATATCCTTAACTTCATAATAAAATAAAAATAAATTAAAAAGTAAAACTATATAGGCACACAAGCACAAAACTCGGACAAAATATGAAACCCCATTTTTCCTAACTAAAAAAAATAATACAATAATTAGATTCAAAAAAATTCCAACGAAATAATTTTTCATTAGTTTAATTAACAAAGAGTTCTGTTGAAGTTTTTATTAATTAAAATGAAAAATATGTCCAGCCTGAAAAGGCTGCAAATTTAGAATTAACCATCTTTTTATGGAAAAACTCTTTATATTAGTTTAGCATTCTCAAACAAAAACAGTGAAGGAAATGGTTGGTTAAGTGAACAAGATCCATCTTGTTCAAAGCAATGATCCAAGGTTTGGAAGACCAGTGCTCCAGGCATAGAGGATACGCAGACGCAAAAGGGTTCCGAGCACACAAGATCCCTATACAATTCCAGTGTCATGAACCAGTTGCTCCCAATAACTCGAGTTATTGGGAGAAAATTATGATGGATCTTATACAGACTCATGTATGGTAGTTAACCACTTCCTTACACGCCCCCTCAAACGAAAGACGACTCATGGGCTTGAAGTTTGCACAGGCCCGCCATACCATGTGCTTGAAAGACAACAGTTAATATTAGGGTCGCGAGGACTTGAACACGTGACCCCAAGGACAAACCAGCTCTGATACCATGTCATAAACTAGTTGGTCCCAATAACTCGAGTTGTTGGGAGAAGGTTATGCTGGATCTTATACAGGCCCACGTATGGTACTTAACCACTTCCTTACACGCCCCTCAAATGAAAGCTGACTCATGGGCTTGAAGTTTGCACAGCTCTGATACCATGTCATAAACCAGTTGGTCCGAATAACTCGAGTTGTTGGGAGAAGGTTATGCTGGATCTTATACAGGCCCATGTATGGTACTTAACCACTTCCTTACACCATGTCATGAACCAATTGCTCCCAATAACTCGAGTTATTGGGAGAAGATTATGATGGATCTTATACAGGCCCATGTATGATACTTAACCACTTCCTTACATCCAGTTTGGTAAATCATCAAGCACGTTGTTGTTAGAAACATAGAGGTTGTTTGCTTGTAGGATTTTGATGAGGGATTTTGCCTCAAAATCCCACATATGATAGATTATGTCTTAAATCCATGTTTGTTGACAAAAATGAGTTTGACCTAAATCCGTGGGGCCCATAGATGTGGAATTATTTTTTGCTCAAAATCCGTGGACCCCACGAATTATGAAATTCCACCTTCTGAGCTAGAATTTTGGGAGAAACCAAAATCCATAGACCCCACTAGTGATGAAGTGACCAAAGTATCCTTAACTAAAAAATAAAAATACTTTATTAATGATATAAATAAGGATAGGATGGTAAATTCATCATGTAACCCATAAATCCATTATACTAAAATCCATTTTGAAAACCAACAAGCAAACATGCAATTTCTAAAATCCAAGATAACAAAATCCAACATAATCCTTTACTCTCAGAATCCAAAGTTTTGAGGATATTTGGATGTTTTGGGGAAGGGAGTAATAATTTGGGTAGTTATAGGAAATTGTTCGGATTATATAACCTGTAGTTAGTAGGAGTTTGTAAGTTAGACAATTACAAATTAATTATAATTAAACCTAATCCTCTCTCTCAACCTCTTCTCTCTCCCTCCCTCTTTCTAGTTGTCGACCAACTCGCTCCTGCGGGAGAGCCAACTTCTTCTTCCCTCATTCTATCAACCCATTAACCCGGAGAGCCAACTTCTTCTTCCCTCGTTCTATCAACCCATTAATCCTCCACCCATTTGTTCGATCGGACCAGCGGGTCAAACCGGACTGACAATCTTGAGCGGAAGGAAAAAACAGTGGCAAGTGTGTAATTAGCAAAAGCTAAGGGGCCGATTTGTAAAATACCTCCGGCGAGACCAAAACCCTAAACCCTTTCCCTCTGCCTATATAAATCGCAGCTAAAATCCATAATCTTCCACACACTCTCAACTCACCGCCGGATCCCATCTGAAAGGTACGAACTTTAGCATCCTTCCTTCTCCGTGCTCTTTGTTTTTCACCCAGTCTGGTTGCATTACTATTATCGCTTGTACATGTACAAAAAGCACATATCGAAGGCTTGCAGGAGCTTCCGTTCGTTGAACTGTGAGCTCAAAGCTTGTGCCAAATCAATCAAACTATCAATCTCAAAACCCCTCGACCAGATTCAATCTTTCTGCTCGAGGGTTGTTTATAACTCATGGATTGATGAACAAATTTTACTTATCAATGGATGTCGATGTTAGTATGCTAGTTTCCGATTTTTGTATTGGAGAAAAGCCAATTTGCAGAGCAAATGCGTCGATAATGGCGTGATTTGCATTGAAGGTTGGCCATATAAACAAAGCGATTCTCCGTGCCTGTCAAATTTCTCCCATTTTGATTACGGCCTCGAACAAATTGCGACATTACACCCTTATTGAACTCATATCACTAAACAATTAGATAGTTGTGCGTAGATTAAATCGCCAATTTGCAGAGCAAGGGCGTCGAAAATGGCGCAACTTGCATTGAAGGTTGGCAAGAACGAATCTGGCAATTCTCCGTGCCTATCAAATCTCTGTATTTTGAATATGGCCTCGAACAAGTTGCAACATTCCCCTTAGTTTTGATAAAGTGTGAAGCTTTTCGTATTAAGCTGCTGCTTTCATTTCCTGTATGGGTTGTGAGATTGAATTTATTCTTGGGATGCTCTTTCAGGACCTAACAAATCGGATTAGAGAAGATGTCGAAGAATCCAAAGGTCTTCTTTGACATAGTGATAGATAGGATGAAAGCAGGCAGGGTAGTAATGGAACTGTTTGCAGATACAGTCCCCAGAACAGCGGAGAACTTTCGAGCTCTTTGTACCGGGGAGAAGGGCATTGGAAGAGCAGGGAAGCCTCTTCATTACAAGGGCTCTTCTTTCCACCGTGTAATCCCCAAGTTCATGTGTCAGGGTGGCGACTTCACTAGAGAAAACGGCACAGGTGGGGAGTCAATCTACGGTGAGAAGTTTTCGGATGAAAACTTCAAGCTGAAGCATACTGGCCCTGGCATCCTGTCCATGGCGAATGCGGGGCCAAACACGAACGGCTCACAGTTCTTCATTTGCACTGAGGAAACCCCATGGCTTGATGGTAAGCACGTGGTGTTTGGCCAAGTCGTGGATGGCTACAGCGTTGTCAAGGAGATGGAGAAGGTTGGGTGTTCTAGTGGCACCACTTCCAAAACTGTTGTTATTGAGGATTGTGGTGAGGTTCCTGGGGGTCAGTGAGGCGATTCAGAATTGTTGTTGAGCAATGGGGCTCGGTTGTTGAAAAGATGTGCTTGTTTTGTTTGCATCACTGTTTTTCCTTATGTGATCTCTAATCAAAACAAAGAATCATCAACTGTAAATTTGAACTTATGAATTATGATGCTCGTTTGAAATTTCATTTTATATGCTCCAATGAGAATACATGCATGAATGAGTAGGGCTCCCAGTTCGTCCTTTACACCGATAAAGCCTGGTGGCTTGATGCTAAGCTGGTGGTGTTTGGCCAAGTTATCGATGGCCATAGCCTTGTCGAGGAGATGGAGAAGGTCGGATCAAGTAGTGACACTACTTCAGGAACTGTTTCTATTGGCGAAACTTCTTTGATCATAACAACTAAGATCGTTGAGAAAGTCTTAAGTTTCACGAGACGAGGAAATTTGATGAATGAGATGTGTGCTTCATTGTTTTCTTTCCAACAATCATTGTTTTTCCATTGGTGGTCTCTGGATCACTTTCGAAACTTCAATATACATGTTGATGTGTAATGTGCATTGCTGTTGATATCTAAACATGAACTGGTTCTTGACGAGAAATCTCGATGATCAAATCCATGGATAGAAATGAAGTCTGTAATGTGTGTATTCTACGACTTCTAGATAATCATATGTAATCAAATCTGCTTCTGGAGAGCAACATAACAAATACAAACAACTCATTATTCAAACCAAAATTACGATACAGCCGTTTTCCGTCTCTGCATTCCTAATCATCATCCTCAAGCATTTGATCCTCGGTATCTTCTTTAGGTGGCCTAACCACCAAGACCACAGTTCCCAAGCTCTCCCCAACTCCTCTCTGCTTCAATGCCGATCCTTTCTCCACCTTCAACCCACTACCCCTGCCATCCCCAGAATCATCAACTGCAACCAAGTAAAACCCATCATCTACTTCCACACCCTTTCTCGCCCTATCAGCCACAACTAAAATGGCTTCTTCCTTGTACCATCTATTCACTCTCCAAGGCAGAGCTCTGGCATCAGGAAACGATACAACAACTCCACCTTCCCCTAAAATAGCAACCGGCTCCCATCCAGGCAGAACAATCCATCTCCCCCAACCTTTATCCGCTTCCACCACCCCGAATTCGCCCCCGGCTTTGCTTACCCATGGCGCTTCAACGATTTCCTTATCCCTCCCTTCTGCTCTGCAAACCGGCAGAACCACCACGGTAGTCGATTCTGCAACTTCCCCTGTTTTCATCCTCACGACCGGGACACGAACCCCATCAATGGCTGCTTCTTGTTTGTCTCCTTTGCCAGCACTAGTGTCCCCTTCCATTTCCCTCAACACTGCCTGTTTCGCCTTCTCAGATTCCGCCGCTTCCAGAGCCGATTGCAAGGAGGCAGTTCTTGCGTCCGACGGGTTCTTGTGCTCCTTGGCCTGCCTGAAGTACAAGAAAGCCAAGCAGTCCCCAGGGAGGTTATAATCGAAATTCTCCCAACCCTTTTCCCCTCGCCGCCTCGGGAAATCCTTCATCGAACGGGCGAGATCCTCCGCTCCCCCGGCATCGAAGCGGTTCTGGATGATGTAATGTGCGGCAGCGGCCCGCTGCGTGGTGCTGAGGAGGCGGATCTCGTAGAGCAGCTCGGCGCCGCCGGTCTCGAAGTGGGAGATGAGTTCGGGCCCGGTTTTGGACTCGATGAGGGAATCGCGAACCTGAGCTCCGACCACGAGTCGGTTCTGCTCGACGCCGGAGATTCCGGTGACTTCCTCGATGGAGGAAGGGGCGTATCCTTCGCGGATGAGGGAGGTGATGAGCGGGGCGTACTCGTACCAGAGCCCGGCCCTGCTGGAGAGGACTTCGAGGCGGGCGGCGGCATCGAGGGAGCTGTACTTGGCGGGGAGAGGAGACGGCGGCGGGCGGAAGGGCTGGTACGGCTGTAGGTTCTTCGGCGGAGGGTTGGCCGGGATTAGACTGGCGGAGATGGTGGGTTTTGCGGAGGTTTTAGTTTTAAGGGTGGAATTGCGCGGGTGGAGGATGAGGAAGAGCGGGTGTGGGTTAAGGAAGGCGGAGGAAGAATTGGAGTGGTTGAAGGTGGTGATGGGTTTTAGAGCATTTGCAGAAAGAGATAGCATGGTTGAAGATGGTGAAGGGAATTGAATTCAGGAGAGAAGGAGATGTCTATGGATATGGCTACGGCTGAGAGATGATTTTGATCCGTCGTGTTTGTTGTGAATTAACAGTATCTTATCTCATCTCATCTGTTTCTTCTCGAGATGAAATTTTTGGGTTATGATATTTCTGAGGTAGGAAAAGGGGTTGTATAGTGGGCTTAGCCATCGGTTGTGTTGGATTGTTGGGCCTTGCTAAGTGCTTGGAAGTCTATGATCCCATCAAAAAAGCCTATGAAAATATTAAAAAGAAACTAGTATAAGTCCGTTCGTTATCACTTTGCGCTTTAGCGAGAAGTCAAGAATATGAGTTTCTAAAAATTAATAGTTTAAATGTTGTTCGAATAGTGTAAGGATAGTTCGTTGTTTGCGATTATAGTGATTAGTTTAATGGAAGGTGGAAATCCGAAGGAAAATCCTAGAACAAGGCCAGGAGAAGCATTAGCACAAAGAAAAGAAAAGAAAAAAAAGTAATGGAGGGGCTTGAGCTCCCGCCGGTCACCAAAAGGAGCCAGCACCAGCCCCTGGGAAACAAGGGAAATGGAACTATCCTGGTATTCTGTGGGATACCACATTAAATCTTCCGTGGATTAATCCTGGTATTCCAGGGATACCACATTAAATCTATGTGACGTCCATTTACTATTATTTCTGCATTGTTAACAAATATATGTTGGATTTGCCTAAATTCTTATATAAAAGTTAACCAACAAAAAAATAATATAATTATTTGTTAAATAATTAATTTCTTATACTCTTTCACCAAAAAGTAACGTAATTGAATTGTATTTGAAATTTGTTTTGCCTTACCGAATCATTGAATTAACTCGATCCTTACGAGTCTATTAATCTTGTGCACACAAAAAAATTCAAATTTTGGCATCATACAAAAAATTCAAAAATTTAAAGAATATGGAAATTAAAGAAACTATAGACATATTGGGCCTCGGGGAATCGTCATAGGCCCAATCAGAGTCGACCGCAATGGACTTCCTCTGTCCAACTTGTATTTCACCCTGCGTTGTTGTCAAGAACTAGTTGGTCCTAATAACAAGTTATTGGAAGAAATTCAATCATAAATCTTATGTTACATTTTAACACGCATCATGTGCTTACCCATGGGGAACACCAGTATTCGTACAGAAGACACAAAAGTTTTCATTTCATGTCAAGAACCAATTGGTGTTGCTAACTCAAATTGTTGGAAGAGATCTAATAATTAATCTTATATCACATACTAACTATTGTCTTCTCCTAGTAGGAGTAGAATTTCTCATGCAACATAATGTTTTAGCAAATAGGTTGAGAAGGAACTGCTGTTGTTTTCTGGGAAATAACAGAGTTTCATTGCCCGAGAATCTTCGGGTTACATCGAAGCTAGTTTGATAAGTGTTTCCAAATATAACAAATCTGCTAGATTTGAATACCATAGCGAGAGGGCCTTTTTTTTTTTTTTTGCCAATGCACTGTCCTTACTCTATTTTCCCCTGCTGATCTGATGGGGATTGATGGCAAAAGAGCGGGGCGGGGACATGTATCACAATACCCATACTCGTCTCGCACCAAACGCGAATCGGGGCTACAGGGTAGGGTGACTCACTTTTACATTTTATGTGAAAAAAATACATGTAAATTTTCCTTTGTATGATAAAACAAAGGAAAAACACTTTATGAATGAATAATAGTGATAATAGAATGAGTAATTTATTCTAACTAGTTGAAGAAAAGCCAAAGTAGAAGAAATTTTATAAGAAATCGAGATAGAATAGGCAAAAGACGGGACGACATGGAGCAGGACGAGTCGAAAGTACATACTGATGCCCTGTCCCGCCCCACGCTATAACGGGTGTGGTAATACCTGTCCAATTGCGAATCAGGTCGGGTAATAGTAACACTCTGTGGGGAGAGTTCAATTTGTCATGGAAGTTGTGCTGTTTGTGTAATGGGGTTCGATTTCCCATATATTTAACTAATAAAGTTATTATCAGTTTATTTATCACCATCAAAAAAATTAATAAATACCATTCTGATCAAAATAAAACAAAAAGTCAACAAAAGTAGTATATTAAATGTAGAACGCCTAATTAAGTTAATGGAGAATTAAAGGTAGTAATGCTAAGAGGTAGGGTAGCATTGGCACTGGATCCAGGGTTACTACATTAATGCCTTTAAATGGGATCCAAATCCAATGACCGCTTATATAAACGAAGCAGCACCAGAAGAAGATCAAAATCCCCAGACAAAAAAAAAAAAAAAAAAAAAAAAGAATAAGAATAATGAAGATCGTGTTGATAGTGGTAGCAGTACTCGTAGCTATATTAGCGGCCGTTCAAATTCGTAGCGAAAGGGCCGACCATGCCGCCGCTGTGGCGATTGCTTTGGCTGCGCAACATGTGATGTTGGTTGTTGGCGTTGCTGTAGCACAGCGCAGGGACGGAGCTAGGTTATGTCCCGGCCCTTAGAATTCTCGAAACATCTCCAATAGGCAAGTTTATCAATTCTCATTCAAAAGTATAAAAACAAATTTGGGAGACTAATATGGAGCGCACTGATTAGGTGTATCTGGAGAGACAGATGTACTTTGAAGTTCGGAGGAAGTAGTTGGCAGTGGTGATGAAGTTTTGCAGCAACTTAAAAACGATGTTGCAATTGTTTGCGGTAGTGCAGAAGGTAGAGTTTATTCTGGTCTTCCTAGTCATAGCTCTTTGTTCTTGGCTTATTGAGTTGATATTGAACGTCTCACCGTTTTTGATTCCCCCTAATGGCAATGGGTGTTGCCATGGTACTTCCTATTTTGACAATATATATACGGATGGTTCTACTGTACATCAGGTACAATCTGGTGTAGTGTAGAAGGTAGAGTTTATTCTAGTCTTCCTAGTCATAGCTCTTTGTTCTTGGCTTATTGAGTTGATATTGAACGTCTCACCGTTTTTGATTCCCCCTAATGGCAATGGGTATTGCCATGGTACTTTCTATTTTGACAATATATATACGGATGGTTCTATTGTACACCAGGTAAAATATTGTGTAGTGCAGATGGTAGAGTTTATTCTGGTCTTCCTAGTCATAGCTCTTTGTTCTTGGCTTATTGAGTTGATATTGAACGTCTCACCATTTTTTATTCCCCCTAATGGCAATGGTTGTTGCCATGGTACTTCCTATTTTGACAATATATATACAGATGGTTCTATTGTACACCAGGTAAAGTCTGGTGTATGTCGTACACTAGACAATTTCCACTGTTCGCGTATATCTCAACGACCAACATAAATATAGTAATTTATTTTTTAATTCCACAAAAAGGACCCGCATTAATGTTGGCTGTTGAGATGGACGTAGATGGCAGAAATTGATGGTGTACGACATACCTCAATATATATCTGGTGCACGATAGAAGTTACAAACCATTCATAAGTTTTTTTTATAAAACTATCGCGTTTAATGACATGTCAAGATAATTGTTTCTAGCTCAGCCAATAGCTAGTTATTCCATATAAATTGAAAACGAAATTGTCTTGGTTGAGATACTATCAGGAAGGATCTTGTGATACTCTGAAGAAGGCTAAACCGTTTCTCAGGCATTGTCAACCCCCAATCAATTTGACGTGGGTCATTACTCTCTTATCATCTTAATTAAAGAGGAAGCTCAGGTTAGCCTCTTTTATAACTTAACTTGACAATTTCTTAGAGGAGACACAATCACGATTCACAATTCTAGAAAAATCACCTCAGATAATACCATCTTATGGAAACAACACTAATGAAGCACCTAAATTACAATTCTGTACATGTTTCCTATGAGGTTGTGCATGTGCAAATTAAGAAAAATATAAGGATTAAAGAGGGAGCTTACTTGGCATGCGGTTTTAATAAGCAAAAACCCCGTCAATAAATTCTAGGTGGATATGTCCAATCGATCGAGTCTAGACATGCGTATATATCAGCATGCTATACTACAAACACAAAGAGTTCGGCTTGTCCTTCCCATGACCACATATGCTCACCATGTATTTATTCCTTGCAGAGAAAAGGATATCAAATCAATTTTATCTGCTCCAATTATTGCTATCACTCGTGCTATTTAGATTGTAGTAATTAGAACCCCACTTTTAAATCTGGAAGCAAGTGACCACTATCACGAAACATCATATTGTAAAAACTTATTTGCAATCATGAGGTTACTTCACTCAAAAGAAATCATGTTTTATATGTTGAAGATCAACATTATAGCTTGAATAGTTCAATTCGGCAATGATCTCAGCTCTTACATATAAATTTTGTGTAAAAGTGGTATGATTGAAGTTATTCCCTTTGTTAACACTAATCAGAATAGTCTTTATTTACTGGAAACTAACCCCAAAACCATTTCAAATCAGAAAAATGATTACTCAAAAGGAGTATCATAACAAAAGCAACAAAAATATAGCTGTTTATCTTTAATCAACTCAAAAGTCAACCTAGAAGATCAACCTAATGAACTGATGTTAAGAGATCACACATTACTGTCAAAGAAACTAAATAACCCATCAGTAAGCTCTCCAAGCAAGAACAATCAATCTTTCCATATTTACCCATCCGAAAATTGCTTTGCTTAACAATATAGGTGGAGGAGGTTAGGCGGTTGTCGAGTCCGATGGGAAGGTTTGGAGAGACGGCGATGGTTGAGCGTTTAGTATGTCGGGAGCTCGGGACAATGTTTATCTTTAATCAACTCAAAAGTCAACCTAGAAGATCAACCAAATGAAATGATGTTAAGAGATCACACATTATTGTCAAAGAAACTACATAACCCACTAGTCAGCTCTCCAAGCAAGAATACTCAACCTTTCAATCTTTATCCCTCGAAAATTGCTTTGCATAACAATATAGGTGAAGGATGTTAGGTGGTTGTCGAGTCCGGTGGGAAGGTTTGGAGAGACGATGATGGTTGAGTGTTTAGTAGGTCGGGACACCATTTAAACCCGTTTACATTAGTTGCACCTTTTTAATCCGCATTCGAAAAACCAACATCACTCAACCTTTCCATATTTACCACTCGCTGAAAGACACATGTGCACCATATTCACTCAAAACTTCTATTTTCAAAAATATTGTTGCTTTATGGTAGTTATATTAT